TAGATACGTGATAATTCGCCGCAGAGATCCGGGTTAGCATACCGCAGCCAATGTAACTTTTGTTCATCAAACTCTTTTTGCATAAGATAGCATTTTTTGACATCCATGTTCTATATTACAGATCTTTCGTCACCTTCACAATAGTGACAGTTAGCTCTGAGTCTAATATAACCATTTCTGAATATAATTTCCTTGAGGCTCCTACAGCCTATTGTGTTCCATTAAAAGTAACTAGTTTTTGAGTCCAGATATTAATTATAAGCATCTAAAGGTTCACATTACTATTCATTTTCCTGATATATAGAATCCTATTTGCATACGTATCTCTTTCTGTAAATTCTGTTTTATATAGTTTCTTAATTATATATTAAATAAATTTTACTATTCACTTAGTTGAATGAACGTATAGCTCATTCAGTTAAGACATTTGGCCGCGTAGACCCAGGTTCACATCCCGCTGTTTCACATATATTTCTTCTCTTTTTACTCTTTCTGATATCATTTACCTTTAGAGAGATCTCTCGTTCTTTATAATAAAGTATTTAATTGTTTATCACACATCCTCTTTATACTTTTTAAAAAGAAAGGCATACTGTTTATCTGTTCATTGAGAGTCCAACTTAACGGGATTTTACTGTATATATGTATATATTTATATATATATACATATATATATATATATATATATATATATATATATATATATATATATATATATATATATATATATATATATATATATATATATATATATACATATATATATACATATATATACAGTAAAATCCCGTTAATGTATATATATGTATATATATATTCATATATATATATACATATATATACAGTAAAATCCCGTTAATGTATATATATGTATATATATATATATATATATATATATATATGTATATATATATATATATATATATATATATATATATATATATATATATATATATATATATATATATATATATATATATATATATATATATATATATATATATATATATATATATATATATATATATATATATATATATATATATATATATATATATATATATATATATATATATATATATATATATATTAGGTATATTTGTATAAACATTTAAAGAATCATTTGAAAATATTTTTTTATAATTTTATTATTTATTATTTAAACTGTTAACAGTTAATATCTTAAACATATCGTAACATAAAATCTTTTGCGTCTTTTTCGTAACTACACATTCCGGAATGCATTTTCTGTAAGGAACTATTTCGTAAGTATTCTTACGAAATGATTTGTTTCGCAAGTTTTCTTTCGCAATGCTTTATTACGGAATTTTATTTATTTATATTTTCGTATAGCGCGTTACGGAATGTGCATTTTTGCATGTGCAACTTCCGCAATAACAATTCAATTACGGTAGATAAAGATGCGAAATTTTCGCAAGTTTTGTTTTTCGGCGAACAACCCTAGCATATTGTATAAATTTATTTTTAATAAAGTTATATTTTATAGCCTATTTTATTGCGACTAATTTAAAACTTTTAGATTTTATATCAAAATGTATATAAAGTACATAAATCTCAGGGTAAATTCGATTTATTCAGATTATTTTTGTCAATGTTTTATTTTGTTTTAGGTTGAGATTTTAATAAAATGCTCAACTTTTCTAAAAATTTATTTCTTAGTTAGAAATAGTACTTAGTCTTAATACGATATATATAAATATATATATATATATATATATATATATATATATATATATATATATATATATATATATATATATATATATATATATATATATGTGATAATTTTTAAGTAAATTAAAATATTTATTCTGTTAACAAACTTAATTTAGTCTGACTTATTATGTTTTATTAATTTTGATAATATTTAATAAATGTGAATCGTATTAAAACTAAGTACTATTTCTAACTAAGAAATAAATTTTTAGAAGAGTTGAGGATTTTATTAAAATCGTCAACTTAAAACAAAATAAAACATTGACAAAAATAATCTGAATAAATCGATTTTACCCTGAGATTTATGTACTTTATATACATTTTGATATAAAATCTAAAAGTTTTAAATTAGTCGCAATAAAATAGGCTGTAAAATATAACTTTATTTAAAAATTTTTTATACCATATGCATGCATTCTATCAAGTTTTCCTTGCCTTTCCATTACGGCAAATTATTTTTGTAATGGCTAGTTATTGAGACAATAATTTTTAATGTGCCACTTCCTCAACATTGTCAAAACAACGTTTTATTAACTTTGGCAAAGTAACACTTTTTCAACGTTTTTTAATTACCGCATTTTCAACCAACGTTGAAATAACGTTGAATAAGTGTTGTTTTTCAAATGGTTTAAATTCGTTGAAAAAGCAGCTAATGTCTAACGTTGATAAACCATAAACTTTGCGACGTTTTTACAGTGATTATTTGCGTGCTTATTTTCAACATTTAATAAACGCGTTTTTTTGAGAAGATAAGATACGTTTAAATTTATACGCATATTCAACGTTGAAAATGGAACGTTTAAAAAGCGGTTTGTTTTTAACGTTGATAAAGAATATACTTCGAAACGTTTTTAAAGTGGCTTTTTGCGTAAGTTGATTCCACGTTGAATAAACGTTTTTTTTGAGAGGCTAAATTACGTTACAGTTTCAACGCTTATTCAACGTTTTAATTTACCGCGATTTAGTATACAAAAACAGACATTGATTTAACGTTGAAAGCACGTTGTTTTTGTGACTGTAACGCTTTTTCTACGCTGCGACTGGTTTTCAACGTTGATTCAACGCATACATGTTTGCTGGGTAGCTAAATACTCACACGCTTCTACAAGTTAAACTTTACAGTGTTAACGCTTCTTTATTTTATTAATTACAAACTAAATTTAAAGAAATTTTTTTTATCAAGGATTACTTGAGATTTTTTAACTTTGTCAAGTGTTACTAATTATAGTTGCACATTATGGCTCATACTTATACTTGATTATGTAGAGAACTAATTAAACTTTAAGAAAAAACAAATTATGGGTCTAGATTTATGCACAAAACAGGATAAATTGTGAAGTATACTCGAAAGCCGCTACCAGCGGCTTGTAGTCATAATAATAAAAAAAATCAAAAGCCGCTATCAGCGGCTTGCTGAGGGAAAGAGTTATATTGACATTTGTTCAAAGAATCAGAGACAGACAGAAGAAGTATGTAGTACTCGTTAACCAAACGCAAGCAAATGAATGTGAAATAACTGATTGAATATGCGGGCGATCGAATAAACATGAGGAACAGCGAACGGATAATATACAATTTTGTTTGTTGTGTTTATAATTTAAAAAGAAAATATTTACTTTATTTGGAAAACGCAACTCAAGTTGTTAATTATCTCTCATTTTATTAATATAAACACAGACGAGAGACAAGAAGCAGGAGTCACTATTTAATAATTATTAAATAGTGACTCCTGCTTCTTGTCTCTCGTCTGTGTTGACTTTGTAATTACTTATTAGTAACCTTTTAATATTAACCTTTGTAATTACTTATAAGTAATTACAAAGGTTTTTTTTCAAGAAAAAGATTTTTTTTATACATTAAATAAGTTTTTTTTCGGACTTTATGTTTTATTTTTTTTTTTTTTTTTTTTTATGTTACTATTAGTAAAAACGATGGTTTAAGTACCTTGCAACTCTTACTGTTCAACGATGCGTTCAACGAAACTTATTTAATTAAAAAGTTCATTTGTTTATCTTTCAATTATTATATAGTTTGTAACAAACTATATATTAATTGAACAAAGCTAACAAATTGTTACGCTTTTAAAAAGATATACTATTTGAGTTTTAATTAGTTTTTTATGTTATTTCATCCAAATTTTATTCAGAAAAACGTGCAGTCACAGCGAAAAGATTTTTGTTAAAACAGCGGTAGCGAAAGAGTTAAGTGTTGACTATTATATTTCATTTATAATAAGTATTTAACTGACAATATTCTTATCGATTGAAAAGGTAGTATATTACTTCAATTCTACTATTGTACGCTAGCAAGTAATAAGTAAATATTTTATAATTACACATTTCTTACGTTTTTTAACCATGTCTGAGAAAAAGAGACTATCAGTAAAAAAAATTAAAGAAAGTCAAAGAAAAGCTATTTTGAAATATTTTCGTGCAGAAACACATTCTACAGGTACTGATTCTGCTACTGAAAGCGATAGCGGTGTGAGTAAAAAATCTAAAGTGATAATTGACGATAAAACTGTTAATAATGCTAATATTTCAAATCAACAAAATGAAGTTGTAAATATCAAAGAAAAACAAATTTATCTACCTGAAGCAACTCCTGCTGTTAATATTTTAAGACAAATTGAGACTGAAACTCAAATTAGCATATTATCATCTGCAGACTACAGTGACCCTGCAAATTAGCCTACTCATTTTATTGACAATTTTCGGCAATTTGTTATAAAAAATAGACCGCAACAAATTGAAAAATATAACTTTCCAAGAGATCGAGATGAACAAAAAAGAAAATTTCCATCAATCTATTACAAGCGGACATTACCAAATGGAGAAGAAGTCTCTCGTTCTTGGTTTATATATTCAGTTTCAAAAAATGTAGTTTTTTGTTTATGTTGTAAATTATTTGGTAAAAGCAAAAGTAGTTTGCCGGCTTTAGAAGGTTCAGGTTTAAACGATTGGAAGAATATTGGAGCACTTCTTTCTTCTCATGAAAAAAGTAATTCACATCTCGTAAATTTTCAAATGTTGAAAGAACTTGATATACGTTTATCTACAGAAAAAACCATTGATCATATTAACCAACAAAAAATTAATGAAAAAGAACAATATTGGCAACAAATTTTAGAAAGATTAATTGCTTTAGTCAGAGTTCTGGCTACGCAAAACTTGGCATTTCGTGGAACAAATGAAAAGCTTTACAATAACGCCAATGGTAATTTTTTAAAATTTGTTGAGTATCTTGCTTTATTTGACCCATTAATGAATGAACATGTTCGGAAAATTAAAAATCAAGAAATTAAAACTGCTCATTATCTTGGAAAAGAAATTCAAAACGAATTAATACAAATACTAGCAAATGCTATAAAAGATAATATCTTGACTAGAGTAAAATTTGCTAAATATTATTCTATAATTTTAGACTGCACCCCAGATAATAGCCATACAGAACAAATGAAAATAATAATTCGTTTTGTTGATTTAGAATCACCAACATCGCATGATGGGGATTTAGTTAAAATTAAAGAACATTTCTTAGGATTCATACCTATGGAGAAATCTACAAGTGGTTTTTTGGCAAAAACATTAATTGAACAATTGGAAAATTTTAATTTACCAGTTGAAAATCTCCGTGGACAAGGATACGATAACGAAAGCAACATGAAGGGTAAGGAGAATGGGGTACAAAGAAAAATTTTGGATATAAATCCTCGGGCGTTTTTTATTCCATGCAGCGCACATTCACTAAACTTAGTTGTGAATGATGCATGCAAGTGTAGCTTAGATGCATAAAGTTTTTTTTGGTGCAACAGATTTATAGTTATTTTTCGGGATCACCTTCTCATTGGCAAGTTTTTCGTAGCTATTTTCCAGATTTTACTGTCAAGTCATTAAATGATACAAGATGGGAAAGCCGCATTAATGCTTTAAAACCATTACGATACAATCTCGGAAAAATTTACGATGCTTTAATGCAAATATTTGAGGATCCAAGATTACAAACTACATCAGTAGGAAATTCTTCCCGAAATGAGGCTAAAGGGCTTGCAAAATCTATTTGGATATTAAAGTTCATTCATTCTTTTTGAAGTTAGTATTTCTAATAAAATATTACAAAATAAGAAAGTTGATTTGAATGTAGCTACACAACAATTAAATATTACTAAAAACAAACTTGTAAAAATGAGAAATGATGAAGGCTTTCAAAGAATTATTGTTGATTCTGCTGAAATTGCAAAAGAATTGGAAACAGTAACAAATTTTGAAGAAAAACATGTCGGGAGAAGGAGAAAAAAGCGACTGTTCGATTATGAGACACAAGATAAAGCGTTGCAAGATCCAAAAGAAAAATTTAAAGTTGAATTTTATTTTAAAATTATAGACCTTGCTATACAGTCTATTGCGGAAAGGTTTGAACAAATGCGACAGTATAATAGTATGTTTGGCTTCCTTAATGATAATTATTCTATAAGTTCAAAATCTTCTGCAGAATTATTGAAAAATTGTAGAAATCTAGAAGAAATTTTAACTCATGGTTCTCAAAAAGATATTAGTGCAGCGGATCTTTGTAATGAAATCAAAGTACTTTCTGGAAGACTCCCACAACAAATGACACCACATGAAGAACTAACTTTTATAGTTGAACAACGTTTAATTGACTGTCTACCAAATATATGTATTTCTTTAAGAATACTATTAACACTTCCAGTGTCCACTTCCAGCAACAAAAAAAAGTCAGAAAAATAAAAAGTTAAACATGCTTTTATTTTTATTATTACATATTTTCAAAATACAAATGAACTTTCTAGTTTCTGAAATTCAAATTCTCTAATAATTTAAACATCGAATCAGAAACAAGTTTTTTTATTCTTTGTAACTATATTATATTCCAAGTTTTCAATTTTTATTCTTAATATATATATATATATATATATATATATATATATATATATATATATATATATATATATATATATATATATATATATATATATATATATATATATATATATATATATATATATATATATATATATATATATATATATATATATATATATATATATATATATATTATATATCGGTGGGAGCAGCTCAAAGAAATTTAACATACATAACAATAACACCTTGTAAATATTTAAAATCCATTTTCTTTTATTTATTTTATTTTAGATTAGGTCAAGTTAAACTTTGTTCTTTAATTTGCCATTGACCTGCCAAATCAAAATAAATTTAATAAAAAAAAAAAAAAAAAAAAAAAAAAACAGTAAAAATACAATGAAATTACAAACAATTAAATTTATAGAATACTTAAATCACAAATTAAAAAAAATAATGAAATCATGGCAAAAAAATGTGATAAACAAAATCTTACTTAAAAACCAGACATGAATATAACTGAGAGGTTAGAGTTATTAGACAAACTAATCTAGACTAGTCTATATAAATGTGATTAGATACTCAACGGATAAAAAAAAGAAAGAAAGTTAGGGAAAAAGCTGTTTTTAAACAGCTTTTTCCCTAACTTTCTTTCTTCTTTTTAATAAATCTGTTAAGAAATCTTAGCTCTAATTTGAACATGCTGTTAACAACTTTTAATAACTTTTTTTTTTTTTTATAAGTGCTAACTTTTTTATAGATACTATAAATAAGAAAATAATAAATAATTAATAGAATTAAAGTAAATAATTATATTAATAGTAATATTAATTAAATAATAATAATAAGAAAAAATAAGAAATTTGTTTAACAAATTGTCATCTATGCAACTTGATGATTTAGACTATATTATGTATAAATAAAAACAATTAGCAGAAAGTTGTCATGAATGGTACAATATTGACAAATCCAAGACAATTATATATGATGGCAGAGTAATAAAAGTTAATAAAAAAGTCATGATTTACATTCGTTGTTACTTTCATAATGTTTATATAATGACATGCATTATATAACCAGAATGTTTATGCATTAAATAACCAGAATGTTTACTAAGTTTAAACTCTATCTGGCTCCTCTCTCTGGATGAGCATTATATGCATATGACAAAAAAAAGTAGATATATTTAAAAATGACTTTGCGGTATAATTTAGCTCCTATATTTTTATAGCCTACATTTTTTAGTCAACTTTTTGCTTTTTTAACTAAAGCTTTAAATTTTTATTCTGTTCTATTGTGCAAGCCATCTTTATTTTATTTTGATAATGCAACAAAATACAAAAAAACAACAACGACGGTAAAATGAAAAAACCAACCTACTTTGGAGTTATGTTAACGCCTGCTATCCAGTTTATAAGTTTTTACTTTACCCGATGTTATTATACCAATTCCTAACAAAAAGAATACAATGAATACCCAGACAGCAAGCTTACATTGGCCCAACGTAAGTTTTAACATTGGCAAGTTCATTCCGTTGGTCCAACATTTAGCCAATGTTTTTTTTTGGCGTATTATTTTAAATTCTGCAAATCGGTTTTTTGCAATTATCGTACTACGTTGGGCCAACATTTGGCCAATGTAGTATAGGCCTAATATTTTGCCATAAAAATCTGTTCTTACATTTAAACCGTAGCCAATATTCGGCCAATGTAGTTGCGGTTTAGTATATACTTTTAAATTTGTTGCGAAATAATTTTAAAAATGGTATCGTTTGACAGAATAAAAAAAGGTTTTGATATTATCTTTCCATTTTTTTAATATATATAAATAAAAAAAAGAAGCTATATTTATTAATTTTTCTAAGAATCTTAAAAGGTTCCTTATAAGAAATAAACTTCAAGAGATTCTCGTCACTTAATGTTTTGTTATTTTAAATAATGAAATATTTGTTAACATTTAAATAATATGCTTAAACCATTTTTTACTACAAACTAAGTTATCAATGTAATAATAAAAGCAATAATCAAATTATTTTTGTGTAAGACCTTAAAGTTATTTTTTTATTTTTATTGCTGTATTGGCATGTTTGATTTATTTACTAATCTTTATTTACTTATATTTAATGAAATAAACTAAACATTGCAAATGTTTAATACAAATAATAATAATAATGATAAATTAAAAGTTATAAGAATAATAGGAAAATTATATGATAATAAACCAATATCAATTTTAAAACAACAATTGAATATAATGCACAGACAGGAAAGTTACATACAGTTATGTACTGACAAAACATAAAAACCTACCATGCAGGTAAAACAATTACTGCAAAAAAAGGTAACAATAATTTATTAACAATAATAATATTATTATCAATAACCATAATAAAGATAAAATTAATACTTCATTAAAAAATAACAATAAATAAACAAAACAAAAAATATTCAATTAAAACTATAGAGTTTTTATAAAAAATGACAATATTAAAATAAAAAAGTAAATCATATCAAGCAAACACATATCGTCACTCCAAAATAATAAAATTTAAAAAATATTCTTTTTTATTTGTTCCCAAAATGGAGTGATTTTTATATTTTATTTTAATTACTTTTTAATTCCTTTTCATTCTTCGATTGTATTTTTTCTTTTAATTTCTTCTTTTTCTTTTTTTTTTTCTTTTTTTTTTCTTTTGTTAATTTGTTTTTTAATTTTTTGTAGTTAAATAACAAAATTGGTTTTGTGGATGGTCCTTTAAGACTCGCCACATTTTTCATTAAAAAATGTAAAGATTATATGAATGATTAGATTAGAATAACTCAGGTTTTATATATATTTTTACAAATATATATATATATATATATATATATATATATATATATATATATATATATATATATATATATATATTCTATAGTATATTTTTTGTTCGTTTTTTATTATAAAGTATTTTTCAAACATTTTTTTACTGTTTTGATTTTTTTAGTTACATATGACTAAATTAGAGAAAAATTACCTATGGCAAAAGTTTATTCAGACTTTTTTTCAATTAACGACATTTTTTTAATTAAGACCTGATAAATTTAGAAGTAAACAGATTTCAGAAAAGTCTTTGTCCTACCAGGTGATGATCATGATGATTGTGACGATGATATGATATACGTGATAATGATGAGCATATGTAATTTAGATGGTGATCATCATATCATGGTATTGGTTCATTTTCAGTATTTTATAGAAATGTATATTATCACAAAATTGTATATTTAAGTTCAGAAACTAAAACTCCACAGTTACTGAAAAAAAAAAATTGTAAATAATAAAAAAAGACATTTGCTCCAGCCCGTGCTAATCCTCCTTTGACATTTTTATGTGTTATAAATTTGACTTTTTCAGATCATTTAAAAATAAATAACGTTTTTAAACAAAGCTCTGTTTCTGAAGTTTTAAAAGAGGTTGTGTTTTTAAACTTTTTTTATTTGAATATTCTTTTTTCTTTTTGTAACTAAATTCCAAAATGCTCTGAAACAACCTTTTAGTTAGTTTATGTAAAAAGGACACAAATATGCATGAAAATTTATCAAGTTAAATTGATGGATGTACTTTTTTCAAAAGCAATGAGTTTAACAAATGATGGGATGGAGACCCATCCACTTCTATGGCATTGCATTTTATTGACTAGAAAGTTTTTTTTTTTAAAAAAAATTTATTTAAAAAAGTGCTTTTTAAGGTAACAATTTCTTAATTTATTTTTAGCGCTTTAATTCTAAAAATGTGCTTTGATTGAAGAAAAATGAGAGATTTTTATTGATATAATATCATTTTGATATAATATTATTATTGAGATAATATCAACTAAGTTGCGTGCTTATCAGTTGCTGGATGAATTAAAGCTCTCATAGCTCTATAAATCAGTATTGCATCATCAGTTGCATCTAATGCTAAAGTTGAAGCACATAGTAAGCATTAGTAAACTGAATTTAACTGTTTCATTATTGTTAATTTTTTGTTATTTTAGTTTTTTGGGTCTTAAGTGACATCCAATGGATGTTTATCTGTGAGATGGTTTCTTGCGAATGTGAGCAAAAAAACACTTCTTGCATTGGTTAATAGTAATTTCGCAATTTATTCTTGGAGTCATTTTTATATAATTTTTTTTTCGATAATAATATGAACTTGTCTTATGTTTAAATATTGTTTTAAATTTTATATCTGGTATTGTTTTGTTAAAAAAATCGGCTGAGGTGCAGATTTATTTAAAAAAAGTTTTTTTAATTATTGTAACGTTTATATATGTGAGTGTAATGTACATTTTAATCATACATTTTAGTTAGTTACATTTTAATCATACATTTTAGTTAATGCACATTTTAATCATACATTTTTCACACAGTTTAACTTGTGTTATTTAGATGCTGTGAAAATAAAAGCTTTACCCTCAGGAGCATCAGAAGAAGAGTTTAAACATTAGCTGAAGAGATATTTTTTGCTTTTTAGGAATCGAAATGGCGGATCGAAAAGCTCGAGAGGAACGTTCTTTGTATAAAAAGTTTTTTGCATAAATAACAATTTCAACTTTTAATAACATTTTTTTTCAATATTTTTTAACTTGGGAATAAATTTCGAAAATACTTTTTTTTTTTGTTGATAAAGATGGAATAAATTTGTTTATTAAACAAACTTATTTCTTTGATTCATGCGGGATAATACATTTGTCCTAATGTGTTATTAAAAGTAACGCTTTAGTAATATTACGCGACCACAAAAAAATGTTGGAAAATGATCACAGATCAGTACTGGTAACTGATATTGGGCCAGTGCTGGTAATCGATCGCGGGCCAGTACTGGCAAACGATCCCGGGCCAGTGCTGGCAAACGATCGCAGGCCAGTGCTGGCGAACGATTGCGGGTCAATGCTGGCCCATGGCAGCGGGTCAGTGCTGGCCCATGCAGCGGGCCAGTGCTGGCCCATGCAGCAGGCCAGTGCTGGCCTATGGCCGTTTCGATGCAGGCCAGTGATCGACAGCCGTCATTGCGCAGTAGTCTCAGCGGGAGGCTGTCTGGCTAAGACCCCAAAAACTAAAATTACAAAAAATTAACAATAATGAAACAGTTAAGTTTTGTTTTATTATTATTATTTTTTTTATTATTTATTTATTTTGCCGTTGATAAATATTACAAAAAAGAAATTACAAAAAAAAAAAAAATCCTGGCCGCAGCAAGAAGAAGACAGGTTGTCTTATCACCGAGCCCCATCACACAAAAGTTTACATGCACAATAAATGATAAAAGACAAAAAGACAGAATAATGCAAAAACATAAACAAATCAAAAAATTCAGCAATAAAATAATTTGTTGGTAACAATCTTAATTTTAAAAATAATTTTAAAAATAAAAAAGTAAAAACGGCAGAAAATTATGAAAGTTATAAAAACACAAAAACACAAGTTATAAAACGTTATAAACAAGTTATAACAAAACAATAAAAAGCACAAAAAAAAAACAAAAAATACGTTGTTTAATTAAAAAAAAAAGCAATATAAAATATTAAACATAAGAATATACAGTAATAAATAATAAAAGAAATAAAGTAAACATAAGAATTTGGGCTGATTATTTAATATCATCAAAAATATGAACGAAAAAGACAATTTTATTTTCGTTATCTTTTATACAAATGGTTTGAAACCATTTTACTAAAAGCTAAAGAAAGTGAATAAGATTTAATTTATTTTTAAGTGATTTAGTTTAAAACTTTAAATTGTTTTCAAAAATGGTATTTGAAATCTAATATATCGAATTTCATGTTCAGTAAATGCCGTTTTGAATCATCCTTAAAACTTTGCAAAGTGCAGTTTAAAACGAAGTTTTGTTTATTACTAAAGATTGCAAGAAATGTTTTCCAAACTAAAGTTCCCCGATATTGAATTTGGTACGAACTTAATTTAAGAGGGTTAATGGGAACTACAAAGTTATTTACTTAAAATTTGGTTGGATATTTAAGGGAGATTTCATTAAAGTTGGATTGAAATGTTACTGGAGAAAACCCAAGTTTTGCTTTAAACATAAATATCATTACTTGATGAATATTAAGCTTATAAATATTTAAAGCTCAAGCTGACGTAAGAGAGGTTCGCATTGTGTTTTTCTATTTGCCCCAAATACTATCCTGCAAGCATGTTTTTGTTTACTATAAACTTTTTTAAGTTTAGTGTAATTAATGATACCCCAGGAAATGTTGCAGCATGAAAGATAGCTGTGTGTAGACGAAAAATATAAAGACTCGTTATTAAGAAAAGATTTCGTTCGGTTTAACATGGCAATATTTTTTGAGATCTTACCTTTAATATATTTAATATAAAATTTCCATGACAATTTTTCATCTAAGAGCACTCCAAGAAAGTTTGTAGCCAATTCTTTTTTGATTATTTTATTATTGATTAAAAGATTGGGTAGTTTTAGAGGAATATTCTCGGCTTTACTAGGTTTATGGAATAGGATAAAATTCACTTTACTAATGCTTACTATGTGCTTCAATTTTAGCATTAGATGCAACTGATGATACAATACTGATTTCGGAGCTATGAGAGCTTTAATTTATTCAGCAATTAATCAGCACGCAACTAGGTTGATATCATCTCAATAGGCAACAACAAAACTTTTTTATTTTTCTTCAATCAAAGCACATTTTTTAGAAATATAGCGTGAAAAATAAATTAAGAAATTGTCACCTTATAAAGCACTCTATTAAATAAATTCTTCATTAAAATTAAAAAAACTTTTTAATCAATGAAATACAATACCATAGAGGTGGACGGGTCTCCATCCCATCAGTTGTCTAACTCATTGTTTTCAAAAAAAGTATGTCCATCAATTTAACTTGATAAACTTTGATGCATATTTGTGTCCTATTTACATAAACTAACTAAAAGATTGTTTCAGAACATATTGGAATTCAGTTACAAAAATAAAAAAGAATACTCAAATGAAAAAAGTATAAAAGTACATCCTTTTCTAAAACTTCAGAAGCAGAGCTTTGTTTTAAAAAGTTTCAAAGTCAAATTGTCTTTTTTCATTATTTACGAATTTTTTTTTTTTTCAGTAACTGTGGAGTGTCAGTTTCTCAACTTAAATATACAAATTTGTGATAATATAAATTTCTATAAAATACTGAAAGTGAACCAACATCATAATATGATGATCACCATCTAGATTACATATGCTCATCATTATCACATATATCATATATTCATCCGAATCATCATGATCATCACCTGGTAGGTATTTAAAAACCCAAAGTTTATCAGGATTTTACGGTCGCTGATTGAAAAAAGTCTGAATAAATTTTTTCCAGAGGTAATTTTTCTCTTGTTTAGTAATATATATCTAAAAAAAATCAAAGAAGTAAAAAAATATTAGAAAAATACTTCAAAATAAAAAGCAAACAAAAATATTATATACTATAGAAAAAATATATATTTGTAAAAATATACATAAAACCACTAACCAGAGTTATACAAAATATTTTTATCATAATCAATCTAATCACTCATATAATCTTTACATTTCTTAATAGTAAATGTGGTAAGTCGTAAAGGACCATCCACAAACACCATTTCTTATCTAACTAAAAAAAACAAAAAAACAAATCAAACAATTAATAAACGCAAAAAAGAAACAAGAAAAGAAAAAGGAAAGAAAAAAAAAGCCAATTTTTATTTCATCAATAAATTTATCAATATGATAAAACTTATTTATCGTTCTCATAGAAATAAATATATATGCTAAATGTAGTAAAAAATTATATAAAAATTAGGAATTATAGGCATTAAGGTGGTACTTGGGTGAAAAATCAAAATTCTTTATTTCTTACTATTCAAATTTGATATTTTGGTACAACAATTATATACAGGTAACTATGCCTTTTTTTTTTAAAAAAAAAAAAAATTTTTACAGAAAACCCTTTTTTGGGTCCAAAGGTCTCAAAACGGTCACTTTGCGGTGCGTCAAATTTAGAAAAAACCACCTGTAGAATGATAACAAAATTGTTTATAGTATAATTTTACAGGTATGGGAGCAGAATTAGCCTGATTGCATAACTAGATCTAATGTAAATAAAATTCAAATACCTTGCTTATAAAAAGGCCTAAAAATAAAACTTTGGGCTTGGGTAACTCTGGACCGAAAAAAAATTTTTTCAAAAAATGTTGGTTCTAAACCTGTATTTTATAAAAAATAACCACCATATAAAATTTCAAGAATAAAGCTCAAATCAATCAAAATTTATATGACGCACCATTCAAAAAATTCAATTTTGAGATAAATGCAATTTAAGTAATAATATACTAAAATATCACTAAATTTCTTTTAAAGATTCAGAAAAAAAAAAGATTTTCATGATTGATCACCGTAAATAAAAAATAATAAAAATCTCTAATATAAACCATAACCATACTTCATTTCTTCTGATTGATTAGTATTTATGAAACCTTTTATGAATTCTTTGAATATACTTTTTTCGATTTCCTTTCCATTGACATTGACACTCTTTGGTTGTTATTTGAAACACAGAACTGATTTGCATAAAATCCTGGAATACCTATTCCCTTTAAAACCTTTAGAGTTCCATTTGAACTATCATTAAAATTTATAACTGCAGAAGCTACACCTAGCTCAACAGTGGTTTTACAAATGTAGATATCTTTTTGAAACCCTTACCAAATCATTCCATTTAGTGACTCATTTATTTATTAGTTATTTTGAGTTTTGCCATAAAGATATTTTTTTTATAATTTGTCATCACTCAAACCTAAAAAAAAAAGGTTTTATTTCTTCAAGGACAACAATTGGTAATTCCTCCCTTATGTTTGTATGTTGCTATGCCATTTATTTTGTCAGCCTGATATTTACAGCAACTATCAGGAGTACATGGGCACATTTGATACCATCTATATTCTTATAATATCTTTTGCTTAAGAGCAATGGAAAAGCACTGTTCCAATTACTTTTTTCATCCACAGAGTTTTTCTAAACTGGTATAACTTTTTCAAATTTCCCTCATAGCAATAAAAAAACGTACATAAACCTGAAACAGGTCTACCACGACTGCT